GCAGGTTTCTACTACAGCTTGCCCTATAGGATGAACCTGTGTCTATCCACACTTTCAGGATTTTTACACAGGTTATAAGTCCCTAGTGATTATCTGTAATTAACTGTGGTGGGTTAAAGCTCAGTCTTTCTACAATGTACAGGGGAAGGGCTTCACACTTGGGAGGGCATATAAGGTCACTGCTGTGACTAGCTGATAGACTATGCACATCCCCTGGATGGAGATGTGCCATAGACATTCTCATTTTGCCATATAACAGGAAACAGGGAGACACCTTCCTGCAGCTGGGATTGTTCTGGATGAGGTGCCTGAACACCTTCACCCTATGGTGATAAACACTTCCTTTCAGAGCATCCAACCACACCATTTAGGACACTCTTGGAAAGAGAGAGGCTTAGCTTCAGTTCCTTCCCTAGCACTCAGGGTGCTTAAACATACTTGCCTAAAAGATCGTTCCAGGCATTAGGCACTGAAATTTGCTGAAGGCCATGGACAGAATTATAGTGAAAACTACCATGTGTCAAGGAAGTAATCTGTCCACAATGCTCTTGGACAAAAAACACACTCCCACTGTTCCCCATAGCATGTGAGAGACTGATTCATAGCCCCTGATATGAACTTGATGTCTAAGCCCCTTCAATATTCATCCATTAGTAAGGTTGACAAAAAAGACCAACTGAGTGTAATAAATGCTTAGTACCCAATTACGGGGCACTTCTGTTAATCATACTGTGTGTCTGTGTTTGGTGGTACTTCCATCCCACTGTAACTCTGGCCCTTGAGATAAAAAGTTTACATTTGAATATGGGATTTTAGCTCTTCATTCACCTATAGGTACTTTTGAAAACATCTAGGGACACTGCACAAAGTAGTTTGAAACCTCAATAAGAAGCAGATGAAATTTACAGTGTATGGATGAGAAAGTCAAAGGAAAGAATTGCAGCTTTGCTGTAGTCTAAAAAACAACCCAACACAGATGTCTCTAGGGCTTTCATTTTTCTTAAACATGAGGATCAACATGTATAAGCCTTAGGCTGAAAAGGTGGTTTGGGAGGAAATTAAAAGGAGATGCATGGAAAGGCAAGGAGCAGTGTCACATGTAACGGTGCAATGCAAGTAAAGAGGAAAAATTTAGAAATCAAACCACAAAGATGGAACAATCCGTATTTTAACCATAGATTCAAATCTAGGAAAACTAACTACAAAGAAGAAAATGGACATTTTTCTCTTGTTATCCTTTAAATAACTGTAGAAACACCATAATGAGACTAAGAATCCCTGTAGAACTTAAATCAGGGGCTGTAAGTTGGTGGTATGACAGCAGTATTAAACTTTATTTTGCTGATTATCCTGGCACAAGTATCTTGGTTAGTTAATTAATTCATGTCCTGAACACTTGACCCGATTTTTTAGGGGTAATCCGCTTGGTAATCTTCTAAATACCTGAAGGCAGAAATAGGTAGCAGGAATTTCAATACCTGTACTTCTTTAGTGTCTGGGCCAATAAGCTGAAATGTTCTGGCCACACTAATCCTCATTAATAAAAAAGCATTTTATACTGAGACCCACAGAGACGGCATATGTGTTCCAGGTGAGTGCACTTCAAGCCCATTTGCTTAACTTATTTCTTTTTCACTCCCCATACTATTCACTGCTACAACACTGGCATTTTTACCTAACTCCAAGTTCTTCCCTTATGCAATGTCCTTCTGTGTTAAGATTGCACACAGTAAGTGGGATTAATTGACCCCAGACTATGCATGTGAAAGTTGGACATCTGGTTCTGAGCTAGGCCCTCTAAGAGTCCTCTATGGGCAGCAGAGAAAAACAAAGCAGCATCTCCAAGGGATGATTCATCTTGCTGGAAGAGCACTACAAGGTGGCTCTGATGACTTTTCCTCTGGAAATGCTTATTTTTCTCTGCTCACTGCAAAGAAGGCCCAGAGTGGTCAGCTCAGACTTGGACATCTGACACAAGTCACAACAGAGGAGCAATATATAGTATTTTAAAAATATTTTAATATATACGTCAAATGGCCACAGAGCTGCAGCATTACACTGGACTTTTGGATCCTTACTGCAGAACAGCAGAAGTGCTTTTTGTCACTTTGTGGTATTTAATAGACCACATTCCTATTTTGGACACCTAGCATTTTCAGATTCTTCTTCATAAATTGACATATTGTAGTTCATTAAATAGGGTTGTGAGAAAACAATGGAAGAGGAGGCATAAAACATTCTGTGGATCAACTCAAATAGAAGAAAATTCTTGAAAAGAGGAAGCTTATTTCACATTCTCCATGTTTAGTAATCTTAGGCATATACACGTGTAAAGCAAAACATCATCCATCTGTTCATAGCAAGTTTGCAGAGAATTTTAATAAGACATTAATGCTAATAATGGCCAATGTTTATGATGTTTATAAAATAACCAATGTGGAGCAGCTGCAAAGCTCATAAAATTTGTTCTTATAAAATCCACAGCGTGTAACACCTTTCCCTGAGCCTGTGTTTTTGCTGACCTTGTCCTCAATGGCCAGACGTGCCAGAAACTCTCTTCTTCCAGGCCATTGCTGTGACTTTATCACTCTGAGACTCATGTTTTGAAGCCAGACCTATTGTCATTTCTGTAAGTTCAACATTCAGCACATTACAGGAACAAACCAGATAGCCAAACTGCAAGTTTCCACCTGAAACTACAGGGATCTCTATTTCCAAGTGACAGATGTTCCACAACAGTTGGTGACAAACGGTCTAATTTAGACAGATTTAACTAAAGTTCAGCCTGCTTACAATGGGGGATTTTTTTTTTTTTTTTTTAATGCAGCTGAAGAAGGTATTTCTGAATACTGGGGCTGGCTGTTGCATACAAAAATTGAACAGCCTGTGTGGTGCCCATGTCTCTGCTCCTCACACTGTTTTCTAGTTGCTGAGACAGGAGATGACATTGCCTAGCAAATTACCAGGGGAATTAGCTGACTTTTAAAATTTACTCACTGAACATATGTCCTCAGAAACCAAACGCTCATGGCCCAGATTCTTTCTTACTAATGAATAGTAAGAAATTTACTTACTATTCTTTCTTACTAGGTTCAGGTGTCTAAACTCTTAAATTAGAAGGACAGTTTTCCTAGGGCTGAACTGATATTCTGAGGTGCTGGGCTCTCCATCAACTATTCAGGAAGCTTTCAGGAACTTCTGGGCCAGAAAAATAGTGCAGAAGAGTCTTTAGGGTTCAAGATTTTATGTAAAGATTAGGGGTGTGATTCAGAAATTGCAATGCAACAACTGCATTGCCCACCATCTGTTAAATTGTCCGTTTTTGTTTTTAACTTGCATATTAAAGCTAGTTCCATGCTCCATGTTTCTGAGTATCATAAAGCTTCTTGCTTGAGCATGACATTATTTCACAATTTGGGGGTTAGATGAAGTAAATGGGCCCAAAGATATTACATAGACATGATAAAACTAGCAACAATGAAATCCTCTTCTCTTCTCTTCTCTTCTCTTCTCTTCTCTTTCTGATGGCTGAGGGATGAGACGGAGAGAGAGGAGAGGAAGAGAGTAGGAGAGCAGAGAGGAGAGGAGAGGAGAGGGATTAGAGGATAGAGCGGAGATGAGAGGAGATGCTCTTCTCTTCTCTTCTCTTCTCTTCTCTTCTCTTCTCTTCTCTTCTCTTCTCTTTCTCTTCTCTTTCTCTTCTCTTCTCTTCTCTTCTCTTCTCTTCTCTTCTCTTCTCTTCTCTTCTCTTCTCTTCTCTTCTCTTTCTCTTCTCTTCTTTCTTCTCTTCTTTCTTCTCTTCTCTTCTCTTCTCTTCTCTTCTCTTCTCTTCTCTTCTCTTCTCTTCTCTTCTCTTCTCTTCTTCTCTTCTCTTCTCTTCTCTTCTCTTCTCTTCTCTTCTCTTCTCTTCTCTTCTCTTCTCTTCTCTTCTCTTCTCTTCTCTTCTCTTCTCTTCTCTTCTCTTCTCTTCTCTTCTCTTCTCTTCTCTTCTCTTTCTTCTTCTCTTCTCTTCTCTTCTCTTCTCTCTCTCTCTCTTCTCTTCTCTTCTCTTCTCTTCTCTTCTCTTCTCTTCTCTTCTCTTCTCTTCTCTTCTCTTCTCTTCTCTTCTCTTCTCTTCTCTTCTCTTTCTTCTCTTCTCTTCTCTTCTCTTCTCTTCTCTTCTCTTCTCTTCTTTCTCTTCTCTTCTCTCTCTTCTCTTCTCTTCTCTTCTCTTCTCTTCTCTTCTCTTTCTCTTTCTCTTTCTCTTTCTCTTTCTCTTTCTCTTTCTCTTTCTCTTTCCTCCTCTTTCCTCCTCTCTTTCCTTTGAAAAACACTTCTAGGGAAATTTCATGATTGCTGTTTTATGAGGGAAACCCATTAAGGTAACTTCATTGATTATATTTCTGTACTAAGGAAATAGCTGCCAGCACTAAATATTTAAGGCAGTTTATCTGCCAAATTAATATTGGCATTGCATCAGCTGAGCAGTCCTGATGCCAGCAGTGGTACAGCATATTCTCCGACTGTGGGGGTGGCCTGGTATGCTGTGAATATATCCCTAAGTTTCTGAATCCTACTGCCTTTGCCTAAACCCAGGTTAAAAATATAACCTAATTGTCCTCTATTCTGTAATTGGCCCGAGCTGTAACTCAAAGGTTAAAAATCACTTCTCTCCACAAAAGCATGATCTTTTTTCAGAGCAGGGAGGCTTCTGTCTGGTTCGTTCCTGAAGTGTTTCGCCTATGTAATTGTAGACATTATGCATAGAGCATGTCTTCATCTAATAATAATAATAATAATAAATAAAAACTACTGAAACTTTGCTCACCTTGAGAAATAAGCTCTTAGGAATGGTCCTTGTTCCTCCAATTGCCATAGAGTATGAAATAGGACATGAAGTAGAATATGACTGCATTGCAACTACTTACCCCCAAATAAACAAATAAAATGATAAAAAAAACAACCACTACCACCACCACCACCATCACTACAACACCACCGGACAAAAAGGAGTTACTTACATTGTGTCAAGATCCCTGTTAAGGCATTTTTAAAACTCTCCTTGGCTTGCTCCATCTCTTGCTCATGAGCTGCCTTTTCATTCATGAGCCGGCGAACGTGGCTGTTTGCGGACTGTACCATCGAATAAAACTGGTTTGCAGAGCGACGATTCACCTCGCCTCGCTCAATCCAGGTAAGCAGCACTGTGATGGCCTCCGAAAACTTGCTATCATCTAGAACAATCAAAACATTGGGTTTTAAATTGCAGACATAAATATCCTGTCAAGAACAGATTTTCTGCTCTGTGTCACATTAAAATCACTGTAAATCATGCTCACAGTATATCACTTGGGGCAATTTTGGGGTCCTTTGTTCTATCAGATGTAGGAAGCCAATGCTACCATGTGAAGCTTCATAAATCTTCCTTCAAGACTTGCCTTCTGCTTATTCTAATAGCTTTCTCACAATAAAAAGCAGCCCACATACATCCATGGGCTGACTCCTCTCTTTTGCAACAGCTCCCTTAAGCTGTTCAGCAATATGAAATGACCTTAGAGAGGAGTGAGGAGAACTTTATGTTACAAGAATCACCAAAGAAATGAAATTTGTCCTTGTTAATCTTTTTGGCCGAAAGCTCAGTCTTGGAGCTTGGACTCAGCCCTACTTCTGTCAACAGATTTCACTACCATCACATTCTTAATTAATGAACAATGACTAGGCTGAACAACTTCTGCTTGAAGCACTGATTAATTACAAGGAACTGCTTTGAACAGATGATGTGTCTGTATTTATTTTGTGTTTTCAATTTGTCTGTGTTTTATTTTCAACATTTTTCTTAAAGGAGTCCAAATGAATTCAGGCAAATACCTGGATTACTGCTTTTTGATTAGCATTCACGTAACTGAAGTTATATTTCTCTGCAGAAAGATCAACAAAACCTGGTGGCTAAATTTTGTATACTTCTTCCCCAGGTAATCTTATTTCCTCTTACAGTGCTCTCTGCTTCCTCAGAAGACTCTTAACACAGCATCCATTGCACTTCTGGCTTCATCAGGATTAAGAGGACACATTCCTTTTTAAGTCCCATTTAGAGCAAACTGCAAGAAAACGTTAGTACAACAGTGTCTTCCGGTGGAACCATTTTTTTTATGCAATTCTATCTCTTTTTTTTTTTCAGGTTTTTATTCTATAAAACTTCAATTTCCCAACAAATCATTTTAAACAGTTCATCTGGTCCTTGCTGCTTAGATTTCATCATATATTTTATATGATAGGTACAACTTACTGTAGAAGGTATGTCATTAAGGTACAGAGAGGTAGTATAGTTGTAGCCAAAAGACATTTAAAACAAAAATTGGAAAATCTTAAAACTAACCAACTGTGCTGGAGAATACAAAAATGTGGACATCGCTTCTAAGACTCTGCACTCCATGTGCAAAGAATAAAGAAATACTAATACTCAAGTGATGATTTGGGCTCTTATTCCCAATCAGTAATCACTTCCCTAAGAGGTGAAGAGCTTATAGTGCAGAGAGGAAAAGTGCCATGCTCTGTGCCCACAGCCTGTGAGGAGTAGATCTTACTTCACGTTATCTTTAGCATCTTAGTAACTGAAACATGCTTTCAGCTATAGCAATGGGATTTGCTCTCTGCTCTCTGTGAACGCACATTCACTCAATATCTCTGGAAAAAAAATGCAAAATAAGAGCATCATAACATTCTTTCTCTGTATGACGATGCATTTGTTGTGACTTTACATTACATGTGATTTATCGTCATCATCATTCATTAAGTAATTGTCTCTGAAGAGGAAGAGGTAGGTGGGGATCTTCATTTTCTGTATTGTCCCCTTGGATTTGTCTCCACATTTTAGCTTCCCTGGATGTATACAAAGCAGGTATGCATTAAGTGGCTCCGATGAGTGAAGTTGTCTGAATATGGGCCTTAGAAAAAATACATGTAAGCAAAACTTGTGCAAAACCTCTTCACTGATAAACCAAACCACTCTCCAAGCTTCAGCCTCCTGAAATACATGGGAGCTGGATGTCACAAATCCAATACAGCCAAGAACTCACTCCTGGAACATAATGTTTATTATAATTACAGTAGTCAATAAGAATAACCTGTAAGTGCTTTAGGGAATGTTAGCATGCAATTTCCAACAATCTGTAGAGTCAGGTCACCCTGAGGATGACATCAACCCGTTAACTCCAATGATGTAATAGACTGTGAGTAGAGAGTAACTGCAGCTGAATGTTCTTTTTCTTTGTAGACATCATTATCTGTATCATCCCACATAATTTATCATCCCACCAATTTATCAAGCACCATTTTGAGTAAATTATCCCATTCAATGTGGGCCAAGACATGAACCTCAAAGTTGGGAGAAATGGTGCACAGAAACACCTCTGAAGAGATACACCATGACCTGTGAAGAAAAAGTGTGCAGAACTGGGCAATAACATTTAATGGAGATGTATCAGGAAAATTCTTTGCACAGAGCCATTTTCCCTTTTTCCTACTTCAGTCTCTCCACAATACATAGCTATGTGTTGTTTTGCTTCAGAATCTACACGAAATGAAAACACCCCTTCTTTTGTTTTGCTTTTATCAGGCACAGTTGGTGTGTATAAGGGATGTACATAAACATGTCATCCATCTGCCAGATGGATTCAACCCATTTAAAAGGACATGCTGAAAACTTGTTTTCGACTTACTATAATGCCAAGGAACTGCAGAGGACTGTGGGCTTGCTATAGTTAATTCATAGCTCTGTACTAGCAGGAAAAAAAGTTTCATTGGTAAACATCAGAATCTTCATTGATTACATAATTAGAAGATACATTAAAAAATGCTAGAGGGTAATATATTCACAACAGGAGCACATTAGTTAATAAAATCTTTTATCTACAGTTCTAAAATTTCCTTATTTCACCTTCTAGAAATAGAAAAAATAGAAATATTTTTCTATGCCTAAATCAACTGCTCAGTGACTGGCACAAGGTAACTCACTGTGAATTAATTTTCTTCATCCAGAATGCGGGGACTCTTTCTGAGCAATCAGAGGTTCACTTGGAAAATCAGATTTTTATACCAGATTGTTCATTTATTTTTTATTTAGTAGATAAATAGCAGAAGAAATGCAGCGATGGAATCTAATTTAAGCAGAGCATGAACTATCTTATGATTGCAACCATTCATTAAAAAAATAAAACAAAACTCCTAATTCTGTTCAAAATAATTCCCTTGCGGTAGGATGCACATAAATATACACTGTTTAAAAACATACTCTTAAAATAAATTCCTTTATATAAGAAATGCTCTCATATGTAATTGTTCCTTAAAAATAAGCACACAGCAATTTATTTCTTGCACTTAAATCATTTCTCCTCCAAGTTGCAGCACTTTTTAAGTAAGTAGGGTAGGATTCATCTCCTTCATGTCAACCTGAGTTTGTACACTCTTGGTACAGTCAATGGAAAGAGTTGGACACTACCTTGATATGTTTTGTTGGTCCTGTTTTAGCTGTCTACTTCAAGGTGAGGCAAAACGTGCCTCAAAAGTGCCTGCTTCCCTCAACCAGCTGTAAAGGAAGCCTGAGGTACCCTGCTCATATTGACATCTCTGCAAGAAACATCAGCATTTGGTCTGAGGAATCCCAGCTATTACACAAGTACACCAGTTGCAGAACAGCCAGCTTTTGTGTACATGTGTTGGGTTTTCAAGTTACACAGCAAGCTGTGATGCACACTGTGACTTTTTCATATACCCACCTATTGTTGGGTGTCTGTTGCTGGAGATTTCCAGGTGCTGCTAGACTCAGTGCCTCTAGAGGTACGATACTTCTTATATGAACTGAAGATATTTGGAACTCAAATCCTAGCTCACAACTTAGATGAAATGAAATATAAAGAAAAGAAAATGCATCCTTACAGCTGTCTGGCAAATTGTCATCAGGGATATTTCTATGAAAAAAGGGAACAATTGTTGACAAATGTTTTGCATTTTTCTGCGTATAATTTGACGACCTCCAAGCAACCCCAACAGGCACTAACTTCTTAATAGAAAAAGCTATGACAAGAATGACTAGCAAATGTCAAACTGGGAAAAAGCATTGGAAACAAAGATTTTATTCTCAGTTTATGAAGTTTCCCTGGTATAACACCTAGCAGAATTCAGCTCAGAGGAATCTAAAATTTTGTGACTATTTGTTTCTCAATGTTAAGCACCTTCATAAGGTGCTTTCACAACTGGGGTGATGGTTTCTAAGGCCGTAGCTATTACAAAGAAGATAGATTAATCCATCACTCTAAAGCCAGGTATTCAAACACTCTTATTATTATTATTTTTATATTTGAGTATATATTCCAAATATAGCCAACTTTATATTTCTGTATTTCAAGAATGACATTGTATGCTGGACTTTCAGCCAGGGCAAGATCATACGTTGCAACTATAGCTGCTTTTAGCTTTGTCAGTATCTTCCCAAAGCTAGGCTTTTTCAAACACTTAAAAAATACCTGAGATAATTCACACAACCCTGGGAGCCTGTCTAAAGTATAGCTATTCTGTGTTGTCCTATTGGACATGCTGTTGTCCAAAGTCAGCGCATACTATCTCTTGATCCTAATCTTGCTCCCCTAATGCAGTCTCTTAGGCTTGCAAGGAGATGGTTAAGGACAGAGCTGTTGTTCGTTATCTTAATGCCTGCACCTAGAGAGCATATGCTCATTGCATATGCTTTAGTTTGCATTAATGATCTCATTTTTCTCTGGCCCTTCTGTGAAATAGGAAGAGCTAGGTATGCCTTTAAGCTCTGCCTGAACCAGAAGAAATCCAGTTAACAAACAACTCTTGAAGGTATCACTGCATCTGAGAATGTCTGTGCCACAGGGTACATTGAGAGGGGACAAGAGCCATGGGCTGCATCCCATCCATCTGCCTCTGACTGACAGCTTGTCCTCTGCCAGCTGTAGCTGTACCACAGGAAGATGTGTCCCCTGCCTCATGCCCACCAGCTCAGCACCGTCCACTTGCTGGCGGTTACACACCCTCAGGTCTGCCTGCAGCTGCCCATCTGATCACATCCCACAGCCAGTTTGTCAAACCGAGCCCAATTATCACAGGAAAGGGGCAGAAGCCAACTCAGGTTGCAGAATGCTTCACTCCATATAACTGCAGCAGTGAGGATGTTTGAGCAAGGTTACTGTTAATCTGACTTCTGATCTGATAA